ATGGCCGAAGACGTATATCAACCGCTTGCTGCTCATCGTAAGCGCATTAGCCAAGTAATCGGAAACTTGTGATTAAGCCTTGGAGGAACCACTGCTCCTGATGATTCCTTATTGGTGCACAGAGAAATATACCTGCTCATGGCACTAAAGCATGAACCGGCGCTCAGTTTTGCGTCGAAGCGTTCTGTCATAAGCTGTGCCTGTTCAATCATTTTTTTCAAGTAGTTTGAAATCTTGGAAGTTCATGGGCGTGTAAGTCATTCCGGCCGTTCCAACTTCCCCATGTAGGGACAAGCCCGCCTGGTCCCTACATGGGGAAGTTGGAACTGTTGGCTCTTTCCGAGGCACATTTCGCCCATAACCAGCTAACCTGCTGTGTGATTTTTGGATTGGCCGTCTGGTGGTCTGTCTGTCCATAATAGCCTTTGTCGTTGGTGTCTGAAAAAGGGTAGGGATAGGAGTCCCGTGAAGTCATGATTGTTATAATACCCCGTCCTACAAAGCAGCTAGTTAATGTATTCGCTTCCATTCCACAATGTGTTGTAGCGCTATCACAAGATGGGAAACCTGCAGCTGTCTGCGGGGGGGGGGGGGACTAGGCTCTAATAACGGCACGATCAGTGAACCACATTTTGTGACCACCCAGCAGATTCTTTGATTTCTACAGTTGGAATTCAAATCTAGCTGGAGAATGGCTCTGTACTTCCCGAATTTAACCCTGCATGCCTACTCATGAGTCCTCAAACAGAGTATGAGTCAGGGACAGCAATTCAGACATTTCACATAGATCTTTACGGTAGGCCGAGGAGCTCGCCGTGGAAATGGAACGGCTTCCTGCAACCCGAAGCGTGTGTACTGGAGCACCTCATGAGCGAAGACAGAGGTTCCACCTGTACTATCTGCGGTCACTTTCGCCATTCAATTTCTCGTGGGACACCAACAACCTTCCAACCTCCCGTAGAGCTATTCAGAGTTATACATAGAGTTTCGCCTCGCGCTAGGGAAAAGCAGACATTCATTACTTCCGTGCAGAGATTTCCCATCGGGAACGGGACAGTTAGTCACGTTTTCTGGGCTGCGGCTTATATTATCTGGGACAACTGGTCACACTGGTTTCTTCAGGGAGCATCCACTTAAAATTTTCAACTAAGATGGATAATAAATTATTTACATTGTTTATCCACCTGTACATCCATCTTCAGCCCCACTAATGACAGACCAATTGAAACTGGCTAAGGCTATTTGCACTCTCACACCGTTTTTTGATGAATATCCTTCCGTCTTTCGAATCTCTTCGCTAAGGAAATATCGTCACGAGGCCAGTGAAAACCGTTGTTAGGGAACGAAAAAGCCGGCTCCGATCCTGCTTTACGTGTTGAGAGAAGGACACCCATCACTTCCGAACAAATGAAATGAGCCAAGTCGTTTGTGTGCACAGTCAAGCCACCTCCTGGAACTCTGGTTGCGGAAGGGATATCCGCTCCGTGGCCATACGTTTAGTAGGCAAAAGCCAGCTCCGAGAATATGGCCTTCCACTCATATGACTACTGCTAACTCGACCAATCCCGTTAGAGGATTTGGCTCAGACTAAGGAATTCAGGAGCTCTCAAGGAACCATTTCTCTCAGGTGAGTCTGATACCAATTCATCATATTTCGCGGGAAGAAGAGCCTGGCTGGCGCGGGCGAGAGCGAGGCTGCACCGGACTACGCTCGACCTGAGCGGCGCCCCTTATCACTAAAAGCATCGGACAGAACGGGAAAGCAAAGTCTGGCGCTCCAATTGGGCTATTACTGGGAAGTTCACTGAGTGCGAAAGCCACTGAAAAATCCGACCCATGATGCCGCTCCTGTCAGGGACATACATGCGAAGCAAATCCATTGTCTAGCAAGCGCAACGGCATTTCCACGCTGGTTGTGGACGGTGTGGTAGTGGACAGTGTGGATTGCAGTCCAATCATTAGCAGATTAGGTTTTCTTTTTAATTTCTTCGACATGTTGCGACATTTCGATTCAGTCTTTCCCACTGAGAACTTCCGCTGCCATTGCCATGGCGCGTTCACGTTGGAACATCGGACGCTTGAAAGTTTTTTTCCGCAGTCTCATTGGCTGTTTTTCAGTCCAAAGTCGCGGCTATTCTTCCAGTTATTATGGAGTGTGACCGTCAAAACGGTTGACCAGAAAGACACAAAAATAGGTCACTTATGAAAAGATAACCAGAAGATCTTATTTAAATGGCAAGTGATTACTGGTAATTATGATAGTTACGCACAATATCAACAGGTAATGGTATTGGTGGTATATTTAAATTACATAGTACCCGTAATGTTAAAAGAACATTGAAAAGACGGCGCAGCTCGGCTCGGTGGGAGCGCTAAATGGTACTCAGCGAAGTCTGTACAGACGACCTCGTGAATACCCATGAACTGTTGTAACCGAAGAGGCTAATATGTTCCGAATTCCGCAGCATCGCAACAGTTGCAGGTTTGACCAAAATACGACCTGTTAGTCAAGTTAGTGAACGTGAACTAGCAAAGGGAACTAGCCAATCTGTAAAATGCCCCTCTCAATATCGAACAGTCCCTCTGCGCTGTCTCATCTGCATGACGCTCTACGCCCACGGTGACTTCACACAGTGCAACTTTTCACGTATGCTAAGTGGCCCACCCGTCCTAAAGACCCCATCCTAGAGAAATCTAATCCCTAGTCTTTGTCCGTCAGCAACTCTTTCGTTCTTTTCAAGGGCTTCAACAGCTGACCTGTATCTGTCTCTGCTATCTTTACGTGACTCTCTCTGGTCGTCTACGCCTAACCCTGAACCTTGGCTGAGTGAAGGGACCCGCAGGGGATGCCACGGGAGGTGTCTCAACTGCGGCCATGTTTCAAAGGCGTCAGTTTCAATTAAAAACGGTGGTAACCTCTAGAACACGAACAATGTCCCCCATGCACACTTTCATTTCCAAGCCCTGCTACGTATTTTCGAAGATTCCTCTAAAATATTACTAAATCCCTGGTTCGACTACCTCCTGGGGTGCACTTTTGTCCATAGCTAAGCAGTCTTGTAAAACTGCCTGATAGGCATTTTCTAGGCGCGCATTTTAGTGCTAGACCAGAGCTATGGCGTGCCCAGATCAAGAGCCTACCCCACAGATAAACACTTTCAAAAGAAGAAATGATCCCTTTCTCCTTCTGAACCCAGCGTGACGCGCCGAAAGTTACGTTGCGAGTGGCGCTATATGCACCACATTTGCACCAGGACATAACTATGAAACTGTGTATGTATGTGAGCAGTCTACTAGCTGGTGTGCGTGTGTCGCCGCAACGTGGAATCTCCTAACCGCTGAGTCAACTGCTAGCAAGTTGCTACTGCTCTTACTCGTGCACATGCGATAGTGAGAACTCACGGAATGAAGCTGTCCCGACTGGTCATCCGGAGGATGGGGAAGGGAAACCTCCAATCGTGAACGGTTGCAATGCAATGTCGAATAGACAGCTAGACCGAAAACTATTCCACTTTGATTGACCTAAATGTGTGAGGGGTTCCTAGGTGGCACTCAAAGGATCCTGTGAGTTTTCGAGCTTAAGAAACCTCAGAAATCTGAAGAATCGTACCTTGAACATATCCGCGAGACCAAGCTGGCACCGTTGAGCGTCCTAACTGACCCGATAAGGGGAATATTGAGCGAAAGGTCGTAAAATTGGGCACAGGCAATTCGTTTATACGGTCATCCGCCTTCTCCACATTGCTTCTGGGTTTTAGGATGAAGTCGAATCCATCCTGGATGGATTTCCCTATGGAACGTGCACAGTTTGTATGGGAAGGTACAGGGAATAATCAACGCCCAGTCCAATGGCCCAACGGGGGCTACGACGACCCAGTTACAATTGACCTCAGACCTTTGATCTTCATCAGGGTTGCGTATTGATTAGGTATAGGGATGGCCTGCACAGCGCAGATGTTCCGCGTCGCAACGCGTCCCACTCGTATAATTTACACTTTAAAAAATCCAACCTGTCATAGCATCCTTCGAATGTATGATTCCTTGAGAGATGTCTCAAAACGGGGAGGGGGGTCTAACCTCACGCGCCGCTTTACTGTAGAAGGCAGCTAACTTCTCCGGAAACGGAGGAAGCGATAGCAACAGTTCTAATAGGGAATCCGACACCCCAGCAGCAGAACATCCAAAAAGCCAAGGAAATTTCCTCCTAGCGAGGAACCTCGAGCTACCATGAGTGGAACGCCAGCAACTTCCCAATTAGTGCAGCTCTTACCTCGCGGCTACCTCTCAGACATGGACATCGGCGTGGGTTTGCTTGGTGGGGCACCAAATGGTACTACGCGAGGCTTGTGCAAGCCACTTTGTGAAGACCTGTAAGGTTCTTGCAACTAATATGGCTCACTTGCATTCGTGGTGAGTCGTTGTAT